GGGGCCTTGGCGTTATCAGCACCGCACTCTACCGAGTGAGCCACGGGCCGGCCCCTCCACCGCCTTTAAATACAACTTTTTTCTCATTTTTCAGGCAGTCCAGTGTATCTCAAATCACAACCACAATTTCCCCCGTACTAATTTCCTATGACTGACATAACAAAGTACCACAAACCAGACGGCTCCAACAACAGAAATTTATTGTCTCACAGTTCTAGAGAATAGAACTCTGAGATCAAGCTGTCTCCAGGGTTGATCCCTCCTGATGACCATGAGAGAGAATCTGTTCCGTGCCTCTCTCCTAGTTTCTGGTGGTTTGTTGGCAATCTTTGGTGTATCTTGGCTTGTAGATACATTACTCTAATCTCTGCCTTCACGTTTAGGTGGGGTTCTGCCTGTCTCTGTCCAAATTTCTCCTTTTTATAAGGATACTAGTCATTATTGGATTAGGGGCCCACTTTACTCCAGTATGACCTCATCCTAATTACATTTGAAATAACCCTATATCCAAATAAAGTCACATTCTGAGGTACTGGGGGTTAAAACATCAACATATGAATCTTGAGGGGACACTACTCAATTCATAACTCAATTCGTGATTACCCTTTCCAGTGTAAGTTCTATAACTTAAGGTCCAATCTTAATTTCAGAAAATATTTACCAGGAATGTAAATGCTTTGTTACTTGTTTTCCATGAGCTAACCTATCTTTTTCTACTAATTCACATAAAACATATTCTGTTAATTTCATAGTATCAGGAATTTAAATTGAGTAGATATAAGTATTTAAATTGAGTAAGCTGTGGTTTCATTAAATTCTGATCTTTTTTCAAGAGGTATTTTCCAAACAGTAGAATATCCTAAATTAAGCCAGCTGGCTGGTTAGCTCAGTTGGTTAGAGCGCAGTCTTATAATACCAAAGTCGTGGGTTTGGATCCCGGTACTGGCCAGCTGGTAAAACAAGACAGTAGAATATCCTAAATTAAAATTAGTACAGTTNCGGTACTGGCCAGCTGGTAAAACAAGACAGTAGAATATCCTAAATTAAAATTAGTACAGTTTAGTTGTTGACACAGTGTGATTAGGACTGCTGATCCAAAAATGGCATAAAGAATAATGGACAAAACATGTGTTAGTTACTGAATAAACGAGCATTGGAAGTCAGTATTTGACATCTATTATCATTTGATAGTATGGCATTCGCATAAGATAATTAGCTTTGTATTGACGTGGTGATAGCTTCAATAGGCAGAGGACTGGTGATAATTTGTACATAAATCACTTTTGAAAAAAATTAATGCAGTGTTTGATTCTTATTTTAGGTACCTGAGTAAAAGTACAAACTTTTAGATACACCTTTTTCCTCTGCTCACAAAATGGATCCAATGTCTGCTACCTAGACATTTGTCTTTTGTTTTTTATTGTTCACAAGATATATGCTAATATTCAACACAGTGCAATTTCTTTTTTTTTTTGTCTTTTTTCGTGACCAGCAACGGGATCGCAACCCTCGGTGTTGCCCCTGCACCTCTCTCAGCCAGTGAGCGGCCGGTCTGTATGTGGGATCCGAACCCTCCGCGAGAGCTCTGCCGCGCTTCCCAAGCGGCGCACTGTAGCAGTGCGCCACCCGGCCGGCCCAACACAGTGCAATTTCTGATATCACTCGTTTTTTACCCAGAGTAAAACAATT